TTGTGGAATATGTCACACTTTTAGTTCAAACTAAATAAGATAATTTGCAGGGGGAAAAAAAAACTAATCGAATAGATACAAAACCCATCCCTCCGCGTAGATCCGCCAGTATAAATACGTAATGGTAATTTAGAAATAACAATACAGGCTAGAACGAGGTTATAATAATCCATCGACCGCAAAATTTCGACGAACCGCTGAACCTTGAATTGATGAATTCAATCGCTTTAAAAATGAACGCGCTGAATTCCAACCATGGTTTTAATGGATAAGTTCAGGAACCGCTTGGTGAATTTCTTATACCAACGACGAACTCAGTCCTCAATTTAAGAATTTCTCTCATAGACATTCTGAACAACCAGCAAAACTAACTTTAATATCTTGAGCATTAGGGCTCCACCAAACCATCGAATTCCTATCGTATCCAATCCTTACAATTAAGTGCGGATCTACGGGGGGGAGGCCTTTGGGGCTTAAGCCTCCCACCCAAAAAGGTAAAATATAACCATGTTTTATGGAAAAAAATTATCTCTTAAACTATTATTGTTCGTGTAATTACATTTAAAAGGACTTTAGGAACGCCATTTCATATAAGTAGTTAGTTTCTTTATTTTTTTCCAAAATAATTATCGTTATTTTTTATGAAAAAAAAGGCTTTTGGGCTGAAGTCCCCCTTCCTCAAAATTAAATCCTGGATCATCTAGTGCTTACAATACAAAATCCTTCGTAAAATCCTTAATGCCCTATATTTTGTCACAAATAAAACCATTCATAAAGATCTTAGTGCCCCATATTTCACTTATTTAGCTCGAGCCAGATATCGGTCATTTCATGATAAATTCCAGTTCCATCCGAATAGACTGATTTTCAGCCTTGCTACTTTCTCGAATCCTGATATGCTTCTGAAAAGAACCACGTGATTTTCTTACCTAGAATTATTTAGGGAGTTCTACCACTGATAGTATCTCGGTCATTGTGTTCATGTCATTATTTCAAATTTGTGCATATTTACTAGTTGTACTTATTTAATTCAGTTGTAAATTTCAATAGAGAGAATCACTTTATTATCATAAAAGAGTGCTGCTCGAATACATTGGATTGCTATTAACACAGCATACTTATTAATCACTACAGACAATTTTTTAAAACTAATATAGAATTATATAGTATTATCAACATGTATGAGCATACTATACAATTTATATATATATATATATATATATATATATATATATATATATATATATATATATATATATATATATATATATACAAAATCAGGCACTACAATACAGTGGTAAAGCCAGTGATACTGTACGGAACGGAGACAAGTTCTTTCCCAGTTTGGAGAAGCTGCTGAAAATAGAAAGAAGGATTCTTAGAAGAATCCATGGGCCCAAAATAACACCAGAAGGATAAAGACTGAAATCCAATAAGGAGATTTACAGTGAAACCTCTGATTTGGAAACAGAAATGAGGGTAAGAAGACTTAGGTTTGATGGACAAATGCAAAGGATGACGGAGGAGAGGTTAAACAAGAAGATTTTCAGTAGGGTTATGAGATACAAGTTCAACCATGGATATACGGTACAAATAAAACAGGAAATACAGAGGCTTGGGATAACACGGGAATTATGTGGCGATAGGACAGAATACAAGAAATTCCTGAAAAGTGCAATGCATGTGGTGGAAGGAACTTCCGTCCAGGAGAAAGTGGACGGAGGAGAGGAAGAAAAAAATTAGCGATATCCTCAAGCAGAGATGGGCAGAAAGGAAGAAACTGAAAAAGAATCCAGTCATAGTCGCGTAGTCCTTCAGGGGTGTTTCGCGTCAAATAAATAAAATAAATATATAAATATATATATATATATACACACACGTATTTTTTTATATATTTTTTTTTCTTTCTTTTTTTTATTATTATTACTAGCAGGCCCGTGCGAAAAATTCGCACAGCATATTGTTCTCAAATGCCAGATTAATGAGAAAATAAAATAATGCACCCTATCAAAAGATAAAGAAATCAAATGTTACTCTATCGATAAATATATTCGACAAAGAAAACAAAAATTAATTTAAATCTTCATTTTTGTTTGGAACCAACATGTTTATAAATTTCAGTAAGCTGTATCATTGCTAAAAATTGTCCGATTTCGATGATTTCTTTTTTTTCATTGTATAGGGAATTTAGTAATCTTTTATATAATCACGGGCATAACCAAGGGAAAAGTGTGTAATTTTTTAGTTATTCTCAAATAAAGTTTGTTTTCCTTTATAACATTTTTGCCTGAATTTTCGGGATGATTGGACTATTGGCCCGCCTGAAGGAGAAGGAAACCTTCGAAATTGGTGGCTCAATCTTGAGATTTGGTGAAAAATTGACGATGATATGGCTTGCCGATCAAAAACACCATCGATAAATAATATAAACTCCTCTCTCGATCATAGAGACCTCAAGTCGACGAAATGAGACATGTATTCAATGACAGTACTACAATTAATGTAAGGTTGTGTGGATGCGAATCCTATGCCTTGCGTTCTCTCGAAAATAGTACGTTTTGGGGCTTAAAAACGCAGGGTCCGATAGTTCCGGAGGAACTATCCGGGTCTTGCTGTACGTATCAAAATGTTCTAGATCCAATTTGTCCCGTATCGATCTACAGACCTACCACCGTTCCAGTATTGAAGCCTAGCAAAATGTTTGTATCGACTTTATTTATTTTAGAAAGAAAAACAAAAGTGGAGAATATGATTCGCTAACCCCCTGTGAAATTCTGAATCCAACGGGACCCCATTCATCATGGTATTTGAGCATGACAGGAGCTTATATTTGGTACAAAACCGATTTCGATATATATATATATATATATATATATATATATATATATATATATATATATATATATATGTATATGTATAACCAATATATATATATATATATATATTGGTGGGACAACTCAGTGATGCATTCCTTCAACATCCTGAAGATAGTACTAGATTTTTAAAATAGCTTTGAACAATATAAATATTGGTACCGAGATCACATAAATTATTACCGGTTAGAATATAAAATATAGTAGTGCGGTGTATTTAAGATAATTTATTATTTTTTATAGATAAGTTATTTAACTAGTGATACATGATTTCTTAAACAAAAAAAAAAAAATCGTGTGATTTTCCGAAGTCCATAAAATATTTTATTCCCTTCAAGTCCTAACTAATAATTTTAAAACCACCAATATCCAAATTACATGATTTTAATGTTGAAATAAATAATGATATTTCACATAAATTTAATAACATTTTTTCTTAAAGCTATATAGCTTTAATTTATGATTTATGTTTTAATTTTAAATTAAATATTATTAAATCGTTTATTTGTGTGCTGGAACACTAGTAAAACACTCGATGGTTTAATGAATAAAAAAATGAAACGCCCTCTTCTTAGGTATATAAGTATATACAATGTTTACGTATTGAATCATACATAAAATATACAAAATATAAAAATAAAACCAAACAAAAAATAGCATGCTACCGTACTCACTCGTTTTGTGTTTATCATATTTGTAGTGCTTTGCCGGAATGTAGCTCTCGACGCTCATGTGTGTCTAACTTATTTAACTTTATAATTATTTAAAATTAAGATAGATTGATTTATAAGCAAATAAAAATATTATCCTAGTTATTGAGTTATTTTAAAATCAATTTATTGAAATTTAAGTTATTTAAAAAAGTATTTATAATTAAAATGGAAAAAGATGTATAAACTTTTTATTCATTTGAAAAAAATCAAAACCATCAATTAAATTATTGAAGGAAGCTAGTCGACTGTTCTACATATCATGGGTGATAAATATTCAGGACGCGCAGTCTTTTTTAAAAAAAAATTTACTGCTCTGAGTACTTGAAAGCATTCAGTGCTCGAACCATGCCCTGAAGATGACCCACATGTTTGTGTTGAAACGTTGGCACAAATAAAAAATTAAATATATTTTTTTAAAAAAGACTGCGTCATGAATATTTATCACCCATTAATTAAATTAAATTAAGACAAATTTACTAATAGCCAATAAGAAAATTTGTGTGCGTGTAATGAGTGGAGCCTGCTGCTGTAGACTGAAGACCCTGAAACCCTCACTCTCACATAAAAATAATAAAATTGATAAGTTATACAAATTTAATTGTATTTAATAATTATATAAATCTTAATACTTAAATAACAATAGTATTTTCAATAAATAATTGTGAAATATTTAACTATTCTTTGTAATTCATTATAGATTTAATTTTCTATAAGTTTTTAATCATTCAAATGGATCTAATCAGTTATACAAATGTTTTGGTTTGTCTGTTATTTTCCATTATAAAGTTTACTAAAACGAAATTACGAGATTTTCATTGCCTGTCATGGACAGGTCAAAAGTTGTCACACTAATTGGATAATGTGAATCTAGTAAGTAAAGTCTGGAGCATTTTGCCTCCTCAGACTTAGTGACTGGCTCAGAGATCTCATTTACATAAAATTTGTGTGAAATATGTCTAAAAGTAGGTCATGACATTTATTTTTATCTGTTAAAGAAAAAAAAAATTAAATACTAGCAAAACATAATATGGCTTGAATTATATGGGTTAATATGTCTTTGAGTACCAAAAGAAAGAAGAAGAATCTTGGATATAGGAGTTATGTTGTGACAAATGAAGTTTCTGGTAAATATATTTAAAAAAAAAAAAAAGAGAAAAAAGACATGAGATCTAAATATTCAGTGTGATGAGATAGGCAAGGCAGTAATAAAAATTGGGAAATTTCCTGAAAATGTACAGTCGATCCAAAACATTAAAAGTAAGTTTTTCAATAAATATGTATTGAAATTTGATCGTATCGGAAATTTGTCATATATCAGAATTTTCATATGATGATGTTGCAGACTTTTTTTTAAAGATGATTGTTTGTTGATAAAACTTATTTTAATATTTTATGTACAATTTAATTTTTCCAGACATGTAGTTGTGAATAGTGGAAATAAATTAAGCCGAGAAGACTGGGGTATTGTTGCACATGGGGTTGCTCGTGCCGCTACGCTCGTTCTGAACCCATTGGTTACGTTGAACGCTGTCTTCAGTCACAACTGTCACATGTACTACGGTGACGTAGCGCATATCAAGGTGGCTGCCAGGAGAGACTCCAACATGAGTCGCAACCTCAGGCTACGACATCTGGCTCAGCAGGTGAGTATTTGCTACTCCGTTTCAAAATCATAATTTTTTTTTTTAAATTGTTGATTCTCTTTATGTATATCTTTCTTATTGTATTCTTGTTGTTTTTTCACATAACTGTCACATATTTTCTCTACATATTCTCACTTAACTTCCAAAACAAAACAAACATTTAATCTATTCTACTGTACTAGATCCTATTGTTTGAAGTAGAACTTTGGAGCTCAGCAAAATACATAACAAAAAAAATTTTTAGAAATTTACATAATTTTTTTTAGAAATTAACACAATAGTTTATTTCAAATCACATTATGTAAGATGAATATTACAACAAAAGATCGGACTTTTTGGCAAAATCCTGCTTATTTTATGAATTTACAATCTGTTTGAATATTGAGTTCTACCAATGGGTAGTTTCTCTACATGTTGTACATGTCATGTTACCAATTTCACATTTACTTATTGTATTTTCTATGTAATACAGTTGTAAATTCCATTAAAATAATAATAAAAAAAAAAATGTTTGAACATTACCCTTAGAGTTTCGTTTTGAATTTGATTTTGGTTTAATCTTTTATTAGTTATTTTTGACTCCTTTATTTGAGCAATGCATGCTAATCATAATGTTTATAAAATTCTTTGACATAGACCATAAATATGCTCGTTTTAAGTTTTTGCACACTCTCGGACTTGATCCTATTATTAATTTTTATTATAATTCTTATTAATTTTTTTTTAGTCCTTTATTGTCTATTCATTGTTACTTGACCCGCAATCTGCGTTTCTGAGAATGGTATAATTGTGAGTGATGTTAGGGTATTGTAGCATATTTTTGCAACTTCTGTTCAAATTTTCAATGATTTTTAATATTTTTACTCCAAAGCTTAAATCATCAAATTATGATAAAAATAGCAGCTCTCGACAGATACGGATGGAACTCCTTGTTCAAAAAACTATACGCTGAATGGTAGAAGACATTACCGAATAAAAAGAAGAAGAAATTAAACAGAAAGAGACCAAGTTTAACATAAGTTTAACTTGGATAGGAAGGAAAGTTACCTTAGGAACCAAATGATGCAAAATACCACTTTTCTGTAGTCACCTTTCTCTACATCAGTAAAAATATAAGACGGGCTTATTATACATTTATTTATTAAACTAGAAAGTCAAAAGCTTCGTTATCTTAAAATTTATAATTATTATTATTATTATTAATTTTTTTGTTGTTAATATCATAGGTTTGTATCGATGTAGTGTTATCATGGAGCTTTTGCACTCTTGACAGTATTTTAAATAAATCATTTTAGCATGTATGACTTTATAGTGTATTATTTCTTTAATTAAATAGTATTGAATATTTTGGTATGCGCTTATAGAATGTTTTGTGTGCTCTCTTATTTTTAAACACTGATTATATTTATTTTAGTTTCTTATAGTTTGCATTTCATATTTATCTTACACCTTTTTTTTTTTTTATTATTTATTTTGTTTTTGTTTCTTTCATTATCCTAATTTCTTTTAATTTCCTGCACTCCATTTTCAGTGCTTTGTTTCCTGCTTTTCTTGAGTCACATTTTATCTTGAGTTGTAGCAGCTTTTTGTGTCGCAACTTTAGTGAAGGTAATTTCTTCTTAATAAGTGGATCAATATATATTTTATTTTATTTTCTATAAATTTCTATTCATTAGTCTCGCAAAATCATATTAATGAATGATAATAATAAAGTTAATATTTTGTATAATTTTTCTGTAGGTATTGCTGTTGGAAAGTCAAAGAATGGATTTAAGTCCGGCCGAAAAAGATGAGAACAGTGATGAACGAAGTTATGTTCTGTTGATTTATGAAGATGTGAACGCTAATACAACTAAAGATTGTGTGCCACTTTGTAATTTATTGGTTTCCCTTCTTGCACACCAGATGCTTTTGCAAACAATCGGCACCATTTTGTTACAAGGGACCCAACATATTATTCCTAGGTAATTTATGTTTACATATTTTTTTTATGGTTAGAAAATTAGTCAGGGGTTGCAGTCAGTGAGAGAAACAAAAAAAATAAATAAAAAAAAAATATTTATTTTGTGTCATCGTTTTGACCTAAAGTTCAGGCCATCATGGCTGAGAAAAGACAAGATTACCACAAAAAAAAAAAAAAAAAAAAAAAAAAAAAATATATATATATATATATATATATATATATATATTAAAAACTATTATAAAAGACATAAAAACAAAATATATGTTATCTGCTTATGAATAATTTCTAAGAAGTGAATAAAAAATTATGTTGTATAAAATGAATCAAAATTGATAATTATTGTATGTAATGGTGAGGCATGAATAAATACAATATTATGATAAGTAGTATATTTTTAAAAATTTATTATATGAACAGTTTAAGTAGGAAAATCACATTAAGGAAAAAATACTGCGGATCATCAGAGCATATATGACAGTTTCTCATGAGGCAGTGCAGATCTTACCTAGCAGGGTAGATACCTCTCAATCTCCTCCTGCAAGAAGATTTGTTCAAATACGCCTAAAGGAGAGAAGGCTCAGCAAGGATTCTGTTGGATCTTTGAGTGAGGATTGTGGAATGACCCAATAGATAGAAATCAACATCTTTATGTTCTTGTGTTTGTGGTAAGTTACACAGCCTTGGAAAAGATATCCATCACCTATGCTCCAGTTGTGATGTCCCGGAAATTGCTGAACATGTGATAACCAACGGCACTGCGTTTGAGGCACTGAGAACCAAGCTAATGAGAAGCAAAGGTATAACTATCACAATAACTACCCATACTTACCATGAGGCATTCGTGTATGGGTGGAAGGAAGTAATTGGTGCTGTCCATTTCAATATGGGAAAAAGACGAATGAGATTTCCACCATTTCAATCTGTAATGACTCCACAATAGACTTAAATTTTATTATTTTTTACAATAAAGTGGAATCCCTCATTATTAAAGATATGGGACAATAAATAAATAATTAAGGAAGTAATGGAATAAACAAAGTTATAGAAAGAAAGATGTGAAATGGAATATTAAAAAATATAAATAAATCAAAGAAATGAGTAGCAACTAAATGTAGATGTAATTCCTGTAAGTTGATTTTATAATAGTCAATGATTTGAAAGCAGATGCTAAAGATCTAAAAGCGAGGAAAAAGAAAGAAAGGATGATGAGAATAAATACTAGAGATAATACCTCGTAAATATGCTGAGGGTGTAAAAATAATGGCATCATATATCACAATGCGATTTGTAACATTCACAGCTAAAAATTTAAACTGAAGTGAAGAGGTGAAAAAAAAAGTCTTTAATAGTTTAAAAGGCAAACTTCTGCATGACAACAGGGCACGATTACCTGCAAAGGCATTTACACAGGATTGGAGTGGTGGAAAGTCCTGTGTGCCCTCTTTGCCAACAGGACGAAATGTACGACCTGCACCTCCCAGTTTGCCCCACTCTGTCAGATGTCCGCAGTATTTCTGATGTGATCGGAACAAATGTAAACAAACGATTCATGGCTGAGTTGTATTGGGCTACCAGAAGCCGAATGGCCTAATAGCTAATGGCAGAGGCGTTTAATAAATAAAAAAAAAAAGTTTAAAAGTAGACTATTCATACAATACATTATGTGAAAATTATATAAATTATACTTATAGGGATATTATGAGATAGTGATAGTGGTTAATCAATTATATATATAAGGTCGAAAGATTAGCACAAAATAATTTTTTTTTTCCTTTATATTTCTAACTGACTGCAACCTCCAACTAATCCCAACCATATTATCTGTAATCATTCATTTCTTCAACTATGTATTTTTTAATTTGTCTTATTTTTGGGGGTTTCATTTTTATAATTGATCTTTTATTGTTTTTTTATTTTAGTTTAGCTGCTGTTGTGCCTAATAAGAACAACCAAAGAATACTTCTAAGCCTTCCAGAGGAAGCCATTGAAGAATTATTAAAGTGCTTAGAGTTGTCTTATGCCACTGCAGTAGAGTTCGACTCGAGACCTGGATTGAAATTCCTGCTTCAAAAAGTAGCACAGCTGGACCGAGCCGCAAATCTCTACAGGCAGGCAGGAGCAGCTTGGACCATCAATTTGATAACCCTCTTCGACCTCTGTATCTGTAAAAGCGAAACGGTAGATAATAGCAGTATTAAAGATATGAAAGAATTTCTTCCAAAGCTTCGTCAAAGCCTAGAACAACTTTGCGATACATACATTGACGTTCTTCTAGATAAAGACGGGGTTCATTCCGTCGTTGATAAGATCAATGAAAAAATTACTTTTATCATTGCCGAGACTGATGAGCTTCCTGTATCCAATGGCAGCCAAGTCTCAAATAATGAAGAAGAGAATGTCGTTGAAGAAAACTCGGCTGAAGAGAAAAAAGAAGATTCTGAAAATGGTATTGAGATACCAGAGCCTGATGAATCTGAAGTTGAAAAGAACTCATTATTAGCGGAAATCGAGAGGCAAAAAAGAGACAGCATATGCAAGGTACTCACTCATATTTGTTACTTTAACTTTTTTATTTCCTCGTCTTTTACTAAAATTTTCTAATCTGTTTCTATATATCTGAGATTTGATTCTCAAAATTCTTTCTTTCTCAAAATTTTGTTCCACAACTTCTTAATTATAATATATCATATTGTTGATTATGTCCATTTTAACACAGAAGTTTGGGTAGATTATAGTTTTATAATTTGAAGTTTTCATAAAGAATATTTATGAAAGAAGAAAATTTTATCCACTCTGTCATTCATGTCATATATATATATATATGACATGAATGACAGAGTGGATAAAATTTTCTTCTTTCATAAATATTCTTTATGAAAACTTTATTCTTTATGAAAACTATATATATATATATATATATATATATAAGAAAGTAATCAATAATTATTAGCTACAATACAAATAAAATAATTCTGAACTATTATAAAAATTAAAGAATAACATAATAATAATAATAATAAATAAGGGGATCATAAATAAATATTTACCAATGGAAGAGGTGCCTTCGATTATAAAAAACCTTAGAACCTTTCTTGCTCTATTAGAACCACCCTGCCATCCATCTCTGTTAGAACCACTCTCCATCCAGTCAATGAATGCTCGAAAAGGGGGTATAGAAGGAAATGGCGGGAACACAATTTTTGACTTTGGGACATTATTTGGACTAGTAAGGAGTTAACATACTAAAAGTCCCCACTCTTGGGTGGTGAGCCAGATGTGGGGGGAAAGGGAAGGAGGGCGTCTAGAAGTTCACTTTTTTCAGCATTTCGCTTATATCAGGAAAACTATCCATCTCATCGATAAAGACGTTGTACATTTAAACAATGAAGTTTAAACAAAGAAGTTTTACAATTAAAGCTGATAAAATTTGCAATATGATTATATACTTTTTTTTTTTTCGCTATCTCTCTTAATTTCCGAGATATTGGTCTTTAGCTATCGCTAATGTCGAAAAAAAAATTTTTTACCTCATATTTTTTTACTGTATTTAACTAGCTAACTCTTGATTGCTCCGATTTACGATTAAGTCATGGGGAAGAAAGCTTTTAATAATTAAATTTTCTACAAGAATAAATATTTTTTTACAAGTTTATCCTCAACAGTTCAAAAGTTACATCAGTTATAATATTCGTTATTATTATATTGCTCTAACTCTCTATACATCTAAATCTCTATGTATATATATATATATACATATACATACATAAAATAACGTTTATTATAAAAATCATTTTTTTCTGGAAATTCTCGGAATCAACATATTAAAGTTATAACTGAAGAAAATTTAATTATTAAAAACTTTCATCCCCATGCCTTAATCGCAAAACGAAGCAATCGAGAGTTAGCTAGTCAAATACCGTAAAAAAACATGAAGTGAACAAATTTTTTTTCCACATTAGCAATAGCTGAAGACCTCTCGGAAACTATGCGAGATAGTGAAAAAAGGTATATAATCAATCATATTCCAAATTTTATCAGCTTTAATTTTGTATAGAACGTCTTTGATGTGATGGATAGTTTTCCTGATACAAGCGAAAACTCGAAAAAAAGTGAACTTCTAGGCGCACCCCCGACACACCTGGCTTAAATCCTTATTAGTCCAAACAACGTACAAAGTAAAAAATTGTATCGCCGCCATTTCCTTCTATATAACTCGTATGACTAATATAACTCTTTCTCATAAATTATATTTTAAAAAAATAAGTGATGATAATAACTTTCTTACAGGACAGGGAGGCTCACATGGGTGTCTGGGCCGAAATGTTGGTCTCAGCTTTGGAGTTACTCTGCCAGTTGGACAGCGATCAGTTGAAAACATTGCTTCCGGCTGTATTCCCTACTGTAAGGTCTCTAATCGCGCATGCAACACATTCGTCATTGAAATATCAGCTTGCTTCTTTATATGATAAGTTAGCTTTAATATATGGCTTTAACCAAGTGGATTAATTTTTTTTTTATAATATAAATTTTTTAGTTATGTTATATATGAACAGTTAATTTGATTTGTAATGCTTTTTGTCTCATTAATACTGGAAAGTACCTGAATGTGTCACAGTAAAAACTGTGAAAATGTATCAATACTTTTTTGTACTGACATTTTTGTTTCATATTTTTTTATGGTTTGATATACGGGTTTTTCTTCTTTTAGTTTTGAACTTTTAAGAGTCTCTGATATTTTTTGTTGTTATATAAACTATTTCTGATGTTTTAGTTCATTGTTTGATGAGGCATTTGGTTTCAAAAACCTTTTATTTTTTCTAGAATATTTTTCTATTTATTCTTCCGAAATTTTTAATGATAGAAATAATAGGTTGTTAAAAATGTTGCTATTACTTTTAGGCTCTGATTGTTAGGGTATTGATCATTAAATGATTTCATAAGATTCATTCTCATAAGAAACAGTTTGCTAAAAATAAAAAATATTGATTTTTAATAGTTGTGAATTTTAATTTTGTTTGTACTTCTAGTCTGTGGTACAGACCCGTTTTTATCAAATTATTAACATCTGCCTGAAGCTTCATAAATAGCTTCTTCTCAATGTAACCTACAAATATTTTATTTAAGAAAACTATTGGAATTGGATTGTTTTCAATCTGAAGATCGTCAAAATTTGTTTATTTAATTAGGTACTGAAAACTCATAAATACCCATTTTTTTTTTCACTTGAACCGTAAGAAAATTTGAGTACAAACTCTAGAAAAAAAGTTGCCTTAAAAAATATTTAGCCCTTAGGCGTGACCTGCACCACCAAAATGTCAAAATAACAAGGTTGTATAGGGCCAATATTTTTGTAGGCCACCTTTTTTTCTCAATTTTGTGATCTAATTATCTTACAATCCAAGTGGGGAGCAGATGGGTATATACGACTTTTTTGTACCTAATTAAATAGACAAAGTTTGCCATCCTCCAGATTGAAATCCCAATCCCAAGATTTTTTGTGAATAAAATAGTTGTAGGTTACAATGAGATAAAGCTATTCACGAAGTTTCAGGCAGATGTTAATAGTTTGATAAAAAGGGGTGTGTACCACGGACTATTGGGATAATATTTGGAATTTTTTATTTCTTCTACAATGTTGCGAATAGGGTGTAATTTAAAAAAAAAAAGGTATTATCAAAGTTTTGTTATATAAACGTTACATTTAAAAAAAACAATTTTACAAAGAATTTTGTTGAATAATTCTTGTAAATAAATTAATAAAGTTCTACTTTTGTACAAATATTTTATATTGATTTGTATTTTATGTCTTTAAAACTGTCATTAAGTTTGTTAGTTTTCTTTTATACTTTTGTACTTTTTTTTTTTTTTTATCATCATCATTTAAGTTCCGGATCAATATTGTAATAAATGTTTATTTTAATTAAAGAGTAATTACGTATATTTTTTGTACAATTTATTCGGTGTAGTTGAAATTAATCATATTACCAGCCATGTTACAAAACCCTGTCGGCACAATTTCATTGGAAAGTGCGTATTTTCTTGTCATTATTGGCCTTGCATGTATTCAGACATATATTCTCTAAAAATATTTTTAGAACATTAAAACTTTGTCTTGATCATGCAATAAAATATAAAAAGAAAATATAGTTCATAAAATGAAACATTTTTTTTTGTCCTCTGAATATTTTTACAAGCTTCTGTAGCGTGACTTAATATTATTTCTGTTCAATTTTAGTAATAATTTATATGCCTTTGAGTTAGAAAGATGTTCAGATTAAAAGTTTATTCTGAATGTAGTCTAGTCTGAGAAATTAGAAAAGGAGCTTGATTACGTAAATTGGAAATATCTTCCAGAATATAACTTTTCTTACATTTTTATTAAAATGATTAACTAAAAAAATGTTTAGCTTTCTTTTATTTTTCATTTATAACATTGTTTTCAAGGAGGTGTTGAAATCAATCGGTCTTTAATGTATAAGTTATCATCATCATGAGATATATTTTCTTTCTAGAAATAGAAATTATATTCGTGGCCTAACAATTCTTCTTGTAAAAGGAATTATTTTTTTTATTGATTTCAAGCAGGAATAATAAAACTGAAGGAGAAATTGTAGTAATATTTAAACAAAAAAATTGTTGTACACTTCTGTTTATAGAAACTATGCCAAAGCTGAAATTGGAATTTCATGCAAGTAGTGATTATCTTTAATAAAGAGTAAAACAAAAAAAAAAATTCTTTATACACTAAGTTCAATAAATTCATTTATTTTTCCAGTCATACAACCAATTTTAAATATATAATATTTTCATTATATTGCATAAAAATCCAGTATCTCTGGTAATAATGACCAATTTGGTAATGTTCGCTTCATAGCAGTTTTTTTTTTTTTTGTTCTTCAATAAGGATCAAAATATCCTTATTCATTTATTTTTTATATTTTATATGCATAAAAAAATATATATATCTATTTCTTTATATCATTAAACTATATCCTATTGACATATTATCATAGGCATAGATAAGCTAGCTTTTATGATTTAAGGCTTTTATAAGCATTGTCTCCAATTTTAAATGTAATTATATAGATCCTTTTGTTTATTATCACTGGCATAATAAATATATGTATATTTTTAAACAAGTATTAGTATTTTCATAGGCTGTGATTAAATAAATAAAAAAGTGAACCATTTTCTAGCAGTTTATTAGTCGTAAACGTTAGTTTATTTCATGACGTGCACTAATTATATTTTTTTGAAAATGACCACTTGCCTGATACTGATTGCAAAAAAAAAAAAAAAATAATGCTATCTAGGTTCAAAGCACTATTAATAGTTTTCTATTCATCGTAGTTCTATTTATTTTATAGAGAAGTGGAGGCAAAAATTAAATACATGTTTTTTTAAAAAATGTATTCTGTATTAAATATTATTTACAATTTTTTTTTTTTTCATGGTGGATCAAAATTGAATCGGTTATTTCAGAAATATCATATGTGATCTTCATGAAATATAAATTCAGTCATGAACTGTTGAAAATCTCTTGAGATAATTTATGGAGAAAATAAAGAAATTTGTTTTATGAATAATTATAATAACTATTTTGTTTGTGCAAAATTATTTATCTCATATAAGTTTTACAGAAATAATATATCAATTGAAAGTGGCATTTGGTATTTTTCATACATTTTTTTTTCTCTCACCTTGTATTGACTTATGTTATGTAGGGTCTTAATTAGTAAACAAAATAGGTTGTTTTTTTTTCAAAGTTTAATTTAAGCCATTGCGAAAAATCAGTTTACTTATATCAAAATCAAATAATGGCCATTTTATTTGAGTGTAACACATGTTTCTCAAACAATAATTTATGGAATATTATATTTTAATATATATATATATATATATATATATATATATATATATATATATATTTTACTGAAAGTTTGTACTTGAGTTGTTTCCACTCTTGACTAAAAAACATTCGTAGCTTCTGAAATAACCGTTTCAATTTTTACAATTTCTGCTTGTTGTTTTTTGTATATTTTTTAATTTTAAATAATTTTTTTTTTCATCTTTGGATGCACATATAATATTTACAAATAATTGTTTTCCTTTGTATAACATTTCCCTGTAGATTTGTTGCTTTAGCTATAAAATAAAACAAAATAAAATAACTTAAGGATCTATGGGCCAGTTGCTGAATCAAGAGTTAATATAGTATCCTTCTGCAAGATTTAACTATTATGATAATAATTAAGTATATTGATGGTTTCCTTTTAGTTTGATTATGATTCCGAACAAATCTCAGACTATACTCGTACTAGTCTGAGATTATTATTATTATGACTAGAAGTATACCTAATTCTCGACCCAGCAACCAGTTCTAAATGGAGCAGATTGTGATATTTTTTTTTATAAACATACGCGTAGACACTGACAGTATTTTAAATGAATTAGGTAAGATGTACGTTCGTTCCTCTTTTGTAAAATAATTATTTAAAGTTTTTTGTTTTGTTTACAGTATACAATAAACTATTTCCATTCTAATATACATATCTAGATAATAGCTTTGATTTGTGTATAATGAAATGAGAATTCATTGTTTCACTAAGAATTATTATTATACATATGTAAAACTATTTAAAAAATATCACATAAAACAGCTTAGGATTAATTATCCTATTTGGGCTTATATATTATAAATAATTATATATTATATACATTGTAGTTGTCAAAAATTATAATGACAACTTATCCTTTATACAATATACATATTAATTTTTTTTATTTATTTTTTTTTTTTTAAATTTCTAATCTAAGAAGAATGTAATTTATGTTCAATACCATAAAATTATTTTTATGTACAAAATGTAGTTTAATATATTAGACGTAATAGTAAATTTATAAAATTTACATGCATGTTTGAATAATCATACTTGTAAAATTGTTACATCTATGCCTGAGCATAAAAAAAAAAAAAAGAAATATTTATTATAAATAAATTAAAAAGTCTTGCCTTTCTTTGGCTGAGTAAGAATTTTATTTGTATCAATGAAAATTATAAAAGCTAATGTTTAATTTTTTTTTCTGTATTTAATAAAAATTGTTTACTTTTATTGAAAATGGTGGACGAAATTTGTTACAGAGAAAACCATTTATTATCAATTCTAAAACATGTCGAATTTCATATTTGTGCATTAACTATAACTTGTGAAATATTTTAAATTGCTGTTTTTTCGTTAAAAAACTGAAAAAAGAAATTTGATTTTTATCCTACACAACTGATAAGGGCATCCACATCTTAACCTCATCAAATTTAACTAGACCTCCATTACTTTAATCATTAAGATTGATAAAGAAAATAAAAGAAAATATAGGACTTAAAGTAAGCCCTGTTTCAAGTTACTTTAGCTTATATTTTGGATTTTTCAAACTCTTCTTTGATTGTAACATAAAACAAAAAAACGATAAACCTTAAGTTGGAAGTAAATATTGGTCTTCATAGTTGTAAAGTACAGATATATAATTTATTACTAATAAATTTTCTTAATTAATTGGTTTTTCAGTGTCATTGTTTTGTGGAATGTTATCATTTTATTATTTTTAAATATTCTAAAAGAGGACTATAGCTCAGTTTTGAGACGAATCTAGAGTTTTTATTTTATTTCTATCAGTAATTTATTATTCATGGTGTCATAAATTCTTTTGTTCACAAGTACAAGGCCATTTGACCATCAATTGTTTTTATTTATTTTATAATTTTAAAAAACTTGGCAAATATGTCAGGTTGGTCTTCCGTTGTCGGCGGAGATATTTCAGTCCGAACTTGATATATTTGTTCTATACTAAAACAAATGAATACTGAGGTATTGTCAAAATAAGATTTGAAAATGGTTCTAGATGCTGGCCTTAACATTGTCTTATCAAATTATGAAATAAATAGAAACAATTGATGATCAAATTGCATTGTACTTATGAACAAAAGTTTTTATTTTTGTTGAGTTCTAAATTTAATTGGAAATGTATCATGTTCGGCTTATATTAAACCTTTAGAATAAATAGGTTTTTAAAAGCTTCTGATAGATTCAGATGCATGTAAGAACATATTTACTGATGAAATCCAAGTTAGTTAAAAATTTTATGTTATTTTTTTTTGGTTAATTTTGATTTTGTGCTCTATAAATGGAATTATTTATAAATAGTTCGTTTAATAAATAAGTAGAGTTCAATGTTTTATAAACCGTCGGAGAAACTCTGGCACTGCCGGTAGGGCCTCCAAAAGGGAGAGTTCGGCCTGTACTCCTGTTCCTCTATGGTCCTCCCGTGACCTCCCATGCTGATGGTGAGGTTGTTGGGTGCGACTATGGTGGTCACGTCATCATAGACTGATTCGGTAGGTTTGGCGTACTCTGAGCTGTTGTGCAGGTGGAGGTGGATCTGGTTCTGGTTGACTGTGGAGTATATGGATGGATATAGCACCATGGAAGAGGGCGTGGGAGGGTAGTGCTGCGGCGGGGGGCAGTAACTGCTATAGCCGGCCCCCGCCCAGTAGCCGCCCCCGGGGTCGTAGCTCTCTTCTGGAAGGCCGGTGTCCGTGCTCGTCTTGTAACCACTCCCTGTGTAGTCCAGGTTCTCTAGAACTGAAAGGATAGTCTATTAAATACAAGCCGCTTCATATAGAAAAATAATAACAAATAAATATAAAGAGTAAATAAGCCACAATATCTTAGTTTTCTTTTGGTTATTATTAACAGATTGCAAAAGAAAGCTCTCACAGCAGAAGCAGATCCAGGATTTAATTTTTAGTTTTTTTTTTAATTTTTATTAAAGGCTGAAAAAAAAATAAAAATTATACGTAATGATGTTAAAGTGATCCTTCAAGCAAAAAAAAATTGTTTATTACACGATCATTAACTTATTTTCTTGATATATGCTTTTATTCAATAGCTGCATTATGTTTTAAGAAGATGATATATTGTGATTGTTTAAATATTTAGCTTATCTCACACACCAAAACAAATATGGGGTAATGAAAAAATAAAGAAATTATACTTGGGGGGGGGGGGCGTTTCAACTTGAATACCGCCAGTAACTCATAGTAAATAAGTAAATAATTCAGGCTTCATCGAATACCAATATTCAACCAATTTTTTTTTTCACCGTTATTAACTAGTTCTCTCCTGCTTTAGTCTTAATAGCTCATTCATGGAGGTCCCAATGCGGCCCGTGGGACTTAGTGGAGGCAGGGGTGCCCAGCTGTTCATTCAGAATAGTGATTTATGATAATTAATTATCTTCGTAGTGGGAATGTCAAGATTCATTTCCCGGGTCTCAGAGAAATAAAAATTAACCGTAATTAAAGAAATTAAAAGAATTAAAATTAAAATTTTGAAACGAAATGGAGGATGGTAATATCGAGTTGACCTGATCCTCGTGTAACCTCTGACTTTGATGCTGGATTTCAAAACTATTGGTTCCGTAGTCTCGATGAAAAGCTATGGCCAGATTGAGTTTTAAATTATTTTTTCGGGTTTCACGTATCTTTAAAAGTAACTCAATAAGTCGATAATAATCGTTCAATATTAAAAATTTAGTAAACTTAGTTAAGATGGTCTAAATTAGGATTCGCTAAACTTTTTGGAACGCGGGCCACATTGAGACCTCTACTCAGCAGTGCCCAGAAGGGTGTTTCATGGCGCGATTTGTGCCATCAAATTTTTTGAGGGGGACACATTTTGACGAGATTTTAAATTTTGAGGGGCCACATTTCGGAAGGATAATGAATTTTCGGAATGAAATGTTTCAAACCAGGGTACAAGAAGAAAGCAAAGAACAGAACACTGAAAGTATTATGGTATATGGTCTATGATTTTTCAAATTCTACTTTAGCTTGCACTGTTTTTAAGAAGAGGGGAGCAATAAATATCTTGGGAAGGAGGAGGAGGTTTTTGCGACATCGACCTTGGAGGGGGGGGGGAGGAAATGGGCACCCCTGCCTCCACTAAGTCCCACGGGCCGCATTGGGACCTCCATCTAAGTGGCAGGGGTTACGGCTTGTGATAAAAAAAATAATCTTGTTCTATAAGCTTTTAAGAGAAAAAAAAAATCATGCAGCAATAAATATTGTAGTAATTTCTTGTATGAGTAATTTGCTAAATTTAATATTTTTTAAAACCTTACAATACAATAAATGAAACTTTCGCGGACCGGATTGGAAGTACTTGCGGGCCATTTTTTTTTTTACTGTTCGTCCGTAATACCCTCTACTTGAAATAATATATAGAATATAGAAATATAGAATAATACAGAATTAAATTTTATCTGGGTAGTTGGGAAGATATCGTATGACGCACTGAAGCTGATTCTCCAAGACAGGTTGTGCCCATATTCCTCTTAAATTACTGCTATAATATGGAGGATGTGAGCTACTTGACGTTTTTTTTCCCCAGTCTATAGAAAAAAAAGTGGATGTAAGATCGGTTTCAGTGCATGTCAGCAACTCGGGCATTATATCTCATAGTGATTGGAAATAATAGCGAATAATAAAAATATATAAAATGAATTGGGGCGTTAAGTTCGAAACTGCGCTAATTATGTTTTCCTCTTTATTTATCCATTATCCGTTCATTTTTTAACACACTAAAAAAAAATATAATTTTTAGTAAAAACAATGTTTTGGTACGATCAAACCAAAATGCATTTATTTTTTTTAAGTAAATAAAGTTAAACAAAAAATAAGTAAAAAAATCTTGACAATTATTCAATAAAAAAAACAAAAAAAACTTTTCCGTCTAATTTAAACAAATTAGGCATTTTTTTACATTGCAATAAATATATTATGTAATATAAAAACAATTACCCTACCACCACTTTTTGACTTCACGGTCAATTTTAATGTAAGCTTCACCGGAAATGCTCTTTTTCTTAAAAATAATTGAAAACATGCACCGAGATATGTATGTCTCAAAAAATTATTGTAATCAAATGTGTGATGTGGTCTTCTATAGATAGACCAAAGATTTGGGAATTGACGGCCTCTAGGCCGCATGTGGCCTCCATGACGTAGCTGCGGCCTCCCAACCTCTCTAGGCTATATTTATTTATCTAGCACTAAAATGAATTAATATTTAACTTTAAGTACGAAAAATTAATAGAATTAAGTTGAATATATGTAGATGGGTATCTGTATGTAGTGATAAATAAAAATAGCAATAGTAGAATATAAAATATTATTGCGACCTCCACTTAGCTTTACTGCGGCCTCTAATGAAAAAGAGGATCCCCAAATATGTTACAGACGATTGCTTGCGAGCGATAGCCTGGAGGGGATCACCCAACTTCACGTTGCTAAAATCCATAGGACTGCCCATAGCTCCATATTCCGATTCCTTTGGGGCTAGTTTGGCAATATCCTTCCTCACTCCCAAGGGCATTTAAAAAACGGTCTGGATCTATGGATTATGGCAGTTCAGAGTCAGCAGGCGCTCGAGGAATAATAATCTGTCTCTTACCCCGGAACTGACCGTCCATGGAATAAACTACATCACGATTACCGATTGAAGGAAACAGTATAGGGTTATCATCCCTACGCCCTGTCTGAGTGAGTTGCCTCCAATAGTCTAAAGGTCTCATATGTCGTGGGTGGTAGAGAGTAGATTTCTTTAAACATTTTATTTTTTATTTTTAACGAGCTGTGTCTGGCCACGCGTTGCTGTGGCTCATTCTGATTGAAAAAAAATAAATAAAAAAGAAAGCAGATTTTTCTAATATATTCTATTTCACAATAATTGTGGATATGAAATATTTTTTGTTGTTCAATTCTTTGTACAGGTATAGAGATTGTATGGTTTTCCAACTCTTAGAGTAGGCAACACATAATTGTCTATATGAGAAGCAATCCATTTCTAAATCTCCGAAGAAAAAGTACTGAATGTTTAAAACATTATATCTCTGCACCAAATCGTCCGATTATAGTAATATTTTTTTTAATTTGCATGGAATTCAGGAAGCTTTCAAATAATCATAATATATAATCCAGTTCATAATAGGTATATTCAATAAAAATTGTTGTACTTTTTGAGTTATTCACAAATATATGAAATCCCTTTAGGACAAATTTCACATACAGAAAAAACATCTGTGTGGTCATACATTAATTTAAATATTTACATATCTTATTACAATTAAAATATTGGAAGAAGAAGAAAAAAAACCCACTAAAAACATATATATATATATATATATATATATATATATATATATATATATATATATATATATATATATATATATATATATAAACATATATATATATATATATAAACATGGGAAAATAAAATAACATAAGAAAAACAAAATTATTTCAGGGGGAACTTAAAAAATTCTCTTATGTACATTTCGAGATCGTTCGGGTTGGGAAAGGAGTAGGTGTTTAAAAAGGAGTGATTTAAATGAGAAAAATGATTATGCATGTCGGATATCGGATATTTCAGAAGGAGAAGGCTTGAATTATTGCTTGTGGAACCTACAACATTTTAATTTGTAGGCTAGAGTATCTTTACATGCGCTCTGATCAAGTCGGAAACTCCGGCTCCACCAATGTTTCTTATCATAACACATATAAAATTATGGCTACAGTCCTTAATGACCTGATAAATAATGTAACAGTTAAAATTAAATGGCAGTTACCTGGAGGCGGTTGGTAGGCGGTAACCGGTGACGGCTCGCAAGGAACCGGTTCTATCTGCGGGTAACTGGTAGGTCCAGGGTAACCACCGCAAGAGGGGCTGTACCATCCGTTCTCTCCGCTTCCTATGCTTTCTGCAAAAAATAATAATAATATTATATATTATATTAATAAAATAATACAATATTCCTTATTTAGTAATATTTTTTTATTTAAAATTTAAACGACTACTCTAGCACTTACTAGACAAACGCTCTGAACTTCCAACTATTTACAAAAGACTCATATATATTACTATATTAAGGTCTATTTGGACTTACGGGATCAAGCTTTGGGGCTCTACTAAGCTTTGGGGCTCTACTTTGGGGCTCTTCTCTTCATGTTGTACATGTCATGTTGTTTGTTCATATTTTCTTGTTGTATTTGTCATTTAATACAGTTGTAAAATTCTATAATAATAAAAAAAAATTTAAACTCTATCTTCAAAAACCTTTTGTTTACAGAAACGTTACGTTTTCGGACGTAGTTCACTCCTTCACTGGATGATCCAATCAATAAAAAAAGTCACAAAAACGTAAAAAAAAAAAAAGAAGACTACACAGATATAATTTATAAGTGTATTGATTACACATAATATCTGAATAGATAGTGGACGTAAGTCCCTCTGTTAGTGTAAAAATTTTATAGTTCTCATTTTAAAATTATATCCCGAATGCATGTATGTAGTTATTTATTTAAAGTATGAAAGTGTGCTAAATCGAATGCTATGTGTTTCTATGAGATATTGAACCAAATACTAAAACAATTACAAAATATTTTATTTTTTATTTTACAGCTGGCTATATAATTAAAAATTTATCTGGACAAACAATTATCTAACTAATGCCCAACTATACATATGTACACAAATATATACATTTGTTACGCTATATATGGAAGACACATAATTTAAAGAAAAAAAACCTGAAAAAGAAGTATTGTTTCTTGGTTGTGCAGGGATTAAACTGAAATCACACACAACCGCTGGGTCCCCTCTTTACCAATTATTTAATTTTTAATTTTAATTTAATTATATTTAACATAATTTATTAGTGCTGCCCAAATGCGAGACCGAGACGAGTCTTGGTCTTGCAAACTCAGTTTTGGTCATGGTCTTGGTCTTGCTCAATAGTCTCGCAACAGTCTTTTAGTTACTTATTAGCTTATTACCATAGAAATATTACTGTAATTTTTTAGATAGGAGAAACCTAACTAAGCCCGAATGAAAAATTAGAGCAGTTAAATGCAAAAGTATATTGGTTATAATAATTATTAACATATAGTAACTAAATTTAACTGGCTTAATGTTTATTTAAAAAATCGATTTTTTACCAGTCCTGGTCTTGGTCTTGTAACTGTTAGGCGGCCTTGGTCTTAGTCTTGCAAAGTGCAAGACCAAGACCGATTTTTGGGCACACTACACTTTATAGAGGATAAGTGTGCTCCAGGATTGTCCTTTTGAACCTAGAGTGGATTTATGGCTGATATAACAGAATGAATAATTATCTATCTCAGGTGGATTCGAACCCAGGACCTGAAGCATAAATATATAATTTATTAGGCGGCGGTGTGAAAAATTCTTAGAAGATAGCTTTAGGAATGGAGATGAATAATGATTTCCAAAACAAGATTACACGAACGATAATGGATTTTTTTCAATGAAATAATATTTTCACGGTAAATCGGTATGTTCTTTATAGTTTATTTCATAATTAAACCAGAGCAGAAATTATTTTATCATGAGCACAACAGTATTTTATTAGCGCCCCGCTTGGTTTGAGTTGACCTCAACCCCTTTGAAGAGTTTAAATTAAAACCCTCGGCCCGTGGCGGTTTAAGGTGAACAGAGGTTTATGGATTGCGTGAGCTCTTTCATAATAGGTTAGGCGTATGAAAGATCAGATGGGCCTGGCTGTATCATTGCGCCGCGTTTAACTTATTGGTTCACTGCCTTCGAAATATGCGCAATAAATTATCTTTCACGGTTTAATGTCGAGGTTGATCCCTTTACTCGCAGTTTCAACCCTCATGTCAATCCGTTTATTGTTGATAATAAAATAGTTGCTTACGTAAGCGATAAAAAAGTTCCATGGTGGAGGCATAATGGATAATTACATATGAATGAATTTAATTATTTAATAAGTCACCTCAAAGCGACACTTGCTCCAAATTAACAACAATCTTTGGTGATTAGGCGTCGTTCCAAATCAACTGACGTCTCTCTCAATAGCTTTGAAACAAACCGACAACCTTATTCGAAACTTATCATGACGAATATACGAAGCTTTGAAATAATTTAATATAATAAATGTTTGACCTTCATATATTATTTCTATTATTTTTTTCGTTGAACCATATCTTCGTTAGTTATTCATAGAAACCAAAAATTGAGCCATCATTTCGAAGATTACGCTCTGCTTCGCGTGCAAGGGATAAGCAAATCGTTCTGAAAAGTCAGGAAAAAAATATGAAGAAAATGAAACTATATTTAGGATGAACGCACCAGTTATGGACAGGTTGGATTTTAAATGTAAATAATAAGCTTCCTTGTTGATTTAAAGGTTTCAGTTTTTTTCTAGATTGAAGAACAATGCCCTCTATTGACAACTGTACAAAACTAAGTACCCAAAAGAAAAATTCAAAATGCCTATCATTGTTGTTTCTATAGTAGTCCGTGGTACAGACCCTTTTTATCGAACTATTAACATCCGCCTGAAACTGCGTGAATAGCTTCATCACATCTTAATTTACAACTATTTTATTTATGAAAAACGTTTTTATATAATAGAGTGATGTATTCTGCCTCAAATAAAGATGAAACTTCACAGAAATCGTTGATTATCCTCCCCATAATGACTGGAAAAAAGTCCCAAAGAATCTCTTATTACTCAATTAGGGATGAATCTCAACTTACTCAGTAACAAACCACAACTTAATTAATATAAACATAAAGCCCATCAAATCAGGAATTTTCTCTGAAAGTGTGGTTGGAAGATTACAAAATAAATCGCGAAGTATACTTTGTTTTCCTTACTTTGTCACAAATAAAATAATCCATAATGACCTTAATGTTCCATATGTATCCGATTTGGCCCAATCCAGATACCTGTCCTTCCATAATAAACTTCATAACCATCCGAATCCTCTCGTTTCTAACCTTGTTTCCTCTTCGATTTCTGATAACCCTCCGAGGCGTCTGAAAAGAAGATGGCCTCTATTGACAACTGTACAAAACTAAGTACCCAAAAGAAAAATTCAAAATACCTATCATTGTTGTTTCTATAGTAGTCCGTGGAACAGACCCTTTTTATCGAACTATTAACATCCGCCTGAAACTGCGTGAATAGCTTCATCACATCTTAATTTACAACTATTTTATTTATAAAAACTCTTGGAATTGGGGCGTTTTAAATCAGGAGATTAGCAAACTTTGTCGATTTAATTAGGTATTGAAAATTCAGAAATACACATTCGCTTTCCACTTGGATCGTAAGATAATTTTATCACAAAATCGAGAAAAAAATGTAGCCTACAAAAATATTGGACCGTTTGACCTATATAACACCTCGTTGTTTTGAAATGTTTGGGGATGTAGGTAACGCCAAATGGCCCAATATTCTTTAAGATCACATTTTTTCTCGATTTTGTGCTCAGACTTAAGCAAATGGGTATTTGCGTGTTTTCAGTAACTAATGATACATACAAAATTTTACGATCTCCAGATTGAAAACGCCCCAATTAGTGTTGCCCAAATGCGAGACCTTGACTCTTGGTCTTGCAAACTCAGTCTTGGTCTACGTCTTGGTCTTGCGCAAGACTCTCGTAACAGTCTTGCAGTTACTTATTAATTTATTACTATAGAGATATTACTGTAATTTTTTACATAGGAGAAACCTAACTAAGTATTAATAACAAATTAGAAGATTTAAATGCAACAGTATATTGATTGTACCAATTCTTTACATATAGTAACTTAAATTGTAAAGTATTATTAACTATTTTGTTCCAATTTTTATTCAAAAAATCGATTTTTTTTTTCCAGCCTTGGTCTTGATCTTGCAACAGATATGCAGTGATGGTCTTGGTCTTGCAAAATGCAACACTAGCCCCAATTTCTAGAATTTTCAAAAATAAAATAGTTGTAGGTTACGATGATATGAAGCTATTTACGAAGTTTTAGATGGATGTTAATAATTTGATAAAAAGTTCCATGGACTAAATTTTTATTTATTTATATTTTTATAGAATATTCAATGCCCATTTTTCTTAAAGTATTTATTGATATAATACTTAATAAGAATTATTGTTTTTTAAAATTCTTATTGACGACAACTAGATCAGTTTCCCTGTTGACGTGCCCCTCTGAAGATAGGGCACCCGATACCCCATCGATGGATATCAACGAGTCAAGATTTTTTGCCGAGTTGATTAGGAAGTGTGGTGTAGGGTGTCCGTTACCTTACACCGGGCTGTTTCAACCTACATGGCTACCTCTGCCTTGCAGCTCTCTTGGCTGCCCGATCAACCGGGGTATCGCTTCGGATGATAACATCTGTGAGTGAGGTCATGGAATTGATTGATCCAGGAGCTTTAATCAAAGTTCTCTATTTTGGTGAGGATTCTGCTAATATTGCTCATTCATTAAATTAGTAGGCCAGTAAACTTAGATAGAAAAAGTTCCATACTTGGAATTAAGTCAGGTAGAGCTTGATTTTTGTTATATTTACTAGCGGAGGACCAATCCCCATTTTGCAAATTATATAACTTTTCATTTAATTATACTGCTTGTTTCTTAAATTGTATAACTGTAATTTAAACGTATTCTGTGGGTCAGATTGTATTATTTTTTATCAACATAAAATAAACCGAACGAAACCACAGTTCGAACTTTTTTTTTTTAATTTCTTTAAATGGAACCCCCATACCAGATTGAAACGACAAGAAACCGCCCGACATTTTCGACTACTGCAGCACTTACTTGACAAAAGCTCTAAACTTCCAACTATTTACAAAAGACTCATACATATTACTATATTAAGGTCTATTTGGACTTACGGGATCGAGCTTTGGGGCTCTACTAAACAATGCTCCATAC